CTAGTAATTATTCTGTATTGTTGGCCAGCTCAAAAAATGTTCCAGATGAGATCAAGCTCAGCCTGAGCATCCCTCCCATGACAAAATAAATAATATTTAAAATAGGCACAAAATATGGGCACAAGCTGCTGTTCCTGTCAATTAGTTGGCTGCACTTGAGCAACTACATTAAAAATAAAATCCTTATTTTACAAAACCAAAGACAAGAGGTGTAGAAAACAGGCCTTTTTTTACACCACATTTCAACAGAAATCTTGATCTATTTGGCTTGGATTTTGTTAACTTGAAGTCCCATAAATTAACAGTGGCAAATATTCTGCAAAAATAACTTGAAAAACCACATTTTAAAGTTCAAAACTTATCCATCTACCATGTCTTGGAAATCTAACTTCAAAGAAACTAAATGCAAATTACAGTAATGTTTTCACTGAGAACCAAATCCCAGTGTCTATCCTAGCACTTTTTAAAAAAAGTTTGCATTTCCACTTGAAATTTGAACTTTTATTTTCCAATCTTAATTAACTAGAAATAGATATAGCCTTTGATAAGTTTCCTCCAGTAACTGCAACACTTCACTATAATATATATATATTAACTTTGAGAGTCAGTGGAGGATGAATGCAATTCTAAATATCATACAAGTGATCAGGGGCAGAGTTGTCAATAATAATAATTACTAGGAGTTCAAGGTGGAGAATCCCAGACACCCCCCCCCCAAAAAAATGAAGCCAAAATCCTGCTCTATCAACAGATCTTCGCATGCGATGCGTTTGGTAGTCAACCGTTTGATTTTTCATTTAAAAGGCGCAAAGAATCAGAGCTAACATTCCTAGCATTTGCCATTAAAAAAAAAACTTCCCCCCAAAATGAAAGGTAGAGCGACATGAATGTTTCAGCTGAAAGTCAGTACATCTGGACAAAAGATCAGAAGAAGTCACAGGTATGAAATTCTATCTTGGTGGAAATCCTTGCACCCCAATCTTTTGAAGAAGAAGAAAAAAAGAATAACGGTTGCCCTCCGAGGAAAGGACTGTGATTTCTCTAATTTTCAGAGTTAATGAGGCAGGCTCAAAACCCATGCTGGCATCAGAGTTTTGTCTCCCCCTTGTCATCTCTCATTCTCGATGCAACCTCGGACAGCTCAATTTCCTCATAAGTACCAGGAAAAATCCAAGTTCTAATGAAGTGCCGCGGTCAACACCAAAGCTTGGTTCTTACTAGAGGCCAGGAATTAATTGGAAGTCAGCCAGGCAAACCTGAAGTTATTTTTTTTTTTTTAAAGGAAGTGTTGCAAATTACCTCCTGTCTTTCCCAATTAAAATGGCCAAAGCTGGAACTGAGTTTCTCCACTATTCCTGCTAAAGAAGCAAGGCTCTTGTCTACACAGAAGCTGTACTTGGGTGGGCACCAGTACTGAGATTTCCCCCTCACTCTAGAGAAGGAATCTCCAAACTTGGCAGCTTTAAGACACGTGGACTTCAATTCCCAGAATTGCCCAGCCAGCACGGGGAATTCTGGGAGTTGAAGTCGACAAGTCTTAAAATGACCAAGTTCTGAGATGTCTTCTCTTAGAGCAACCCAACTGTCCTTAAAACTCACTTCTGTGGCATGAGATGGAAAGAGGCAATGCTTTGTCTACCACTCTTCTAGAAATAATACAATAAACTGTGACTCATTGAGTCACCCTTTCAGAGATATTTATTTTTTAACAGATTTCCCCAAAGCCTTCAACAACTGCAGAGCTTACTCGCTCATCTTTCAAATAACTCTGGGCAGGTCCCAAAGCTAGAGACAGAGACCTAGATGTATATATTTTAATCTTTGGGGCCTGCCCAGAATTAACTCAGGGTAATAAAATATTCAGAGGTGTACCTGCCTTGAAAGCTGAACTGTACAGCAGAGTCAAACATCAGGACTTGATAGCAGGAAATATTTCATGACATTTTGTGCTATGTCATAAAACACTTCATGATTTTTATGTTATGAAATGTTTTATCAAATTTGCCAAATTTCAGTTCCACGGGAATCATGGGTCCCTGGTGTTGGACACATTCTGCAATTAACCCGTTCGAGATACCTTGGTTCCAAAACTGCTGCCCTAGGATGCACTGGTTTGCCCAGTGAAAGGTTAGAGAGACGAGTTGTAGTACCACAGGTTGTCCTTGACTTATGGCCACAATCCAGCCCAAAACTTTTGTTGCTAAGCGTTGTTGAATTTTGCCCCCATTTTATGACTTTTCTTGCCCCAATTGTTAAGTGAATCACTGCATTTCTTAAATTAGTAACATGGTTGTAAAGTGAATCTGGCTTCCCTGTTGATTTTGCTTGTCACAAAAGGTGATCACATAACCCCGGAACACTGCAACCCTCATAAATAAGAGTTGCCAGGCATCCGAAATTTGATCATGTGGCCATGGGGATGCTGCAACCATCATAAGTGTGGGAAAGGATATTATGTCACTTTTTTCAGTGCTGTTGTAACTTGTCACTAAACCAACTGTTGTAAGTCAAGGACTACCTGTATAAGTTTCTAAGAGAAGTAATACAGACCATGGCCTCAGAAAGTCTGCTTCCTCAATAAAAAAAACACTCAGATCATAATAAATATTAAACCCTGATCATATTATACTCTTATCAATTTCTGTCGGACCTTCATCTTGATTCTTTCTTACAAGGGGATGAGGACAAAGTCTGTTCCTATTTATCTTAACTTTGCTACTGTAAAGTAAGATAAAATAAGGCTTCACTGCTGCCATCTACTGAACGCTTTTCTTTTCCAGGTTTTGTATTCTAATTTTTGTATTCTAATTTTAATGGAACAATTTACTGTAAAATTATTTGAGGCATTGTAGCCTTGATTTGAAGGTGATTGTGATTAACAAGTTAACCACACCAAATATAAAATGATGCTAGAATAACAAAGTGGTTCGTTTATTACTGAGTGAAAATTTTCATTTTTGAGTGGAGGTCCAAATCACAGAATTCACACACACACACACACACACACACACACACACACGGTGCTTTGGTGATCAGCCCGCTTATGAAATTAGCTACAGAAGAAAAACAATAGCTCCTCCTAAACTCTTACTTTGCAAAGCTGCTTTCTGCAACTTGGTAGTCACCAAAAACGTTAGGATTGCAATGGATTTGTAGCCAATGCTATCCGTACCTGTGTTGCTTCAGAACTCTGGAAATTACAGCTCAACACACTTGCAGCACACTAGATTAAGTTAAAGTTCACTGGTGCCTAGTCTGTAAAACCCTGCAAGATGATTATATGGCAGTAAAAGGGTATTAGAATTCCTATTTGCTGCCAAATGGTCATCCTTTGGGTTTCTGCAGTCCAGTTCTGGCAGCTGAAGCTTTATTGTAGGTAGATTTTTTTTTAAGGCAGATCATGTACCGAAGAGCAGGTTTGAATCTTGGTGAATTGGAACCGACATTGCTAAAATCTAGCTTTTTTGTTTTGCAAGGGGGAAACTGTCCATTCCTTAAGGGAGAAAAATAACACACTGCAAGTTCCAGCAATGATTTGATGCCACCTTGTGCCAAACCAGAGAAATGATCCTAACTCTCCAAGGTCAAAAGAACTTCCATTATAATTGGTACAATTCACCATCACTGCAATGATTCTAACCACCCCCTCATATTAGGGAACAACCATGGTCTTCTAGTTCAGTGTTTCCTAACCTTGGCTGCTTTGAAATGAGTGGACTTCAACTCCCAGAATTCTCCTAGCCATAAAGACTTAAGTATTGCTACAACTCGAGCTGGTTTCTTCTCTGCTCTGCCTGACCCAAAAGCATAAGTGCACATCATGAGCCTAGTGGGGGTCATTTCCTCCCATTGCCTGTTAACCAGTTGCCTCTAGTCTTCTCCTTCACATGCTTCATTGGATACACCTAGATTCCTCATAGCTTTGTCAAGTAACCCTCCAAAAGTAAAAAACAATGAAAATGCAGGGGTGCTCACTTAGTCCTTGACTTACAACCACAACCGAGCCCAAAATTTCTGTTAAGTGAGACATTTGTTCATTTGAGATTTGCCCCATTTTATGGCCTTCCTTGCCACAGTTGTTAAGCACTGCAGTTGATAAGTTAGTAACTCGGTTGTTAAGTGAATCTGGGTTCCTTACTGATTTTGTCAGAATTTTGCAAAAGATGAACACATGACTCCGGGGCACTGCAACTGTCATAAATGATAGATGTCAAGCATCCGAATGTAAATCATGGGACTATCAGAATGCTGCAAGTGTGAAAAATGGTCATAATTCAATATTTGAAGGGCTGCCGCAAAGAACAGTGGGGTCAGTCTATTTTCCAAAGCACCTGAAGGCAGGGCAAGCAGCAATGGATGGAAACTAATCAAGGAGGGAAGCAACCTAGAATTAAGGAGAAATTTCCTGACAATTAGAACATTTAACCAGTGGAAAGCTTGCCTTCAGAAATTGTGGATACCCCATCAGTGGAGTCTGGAAAGCCACTCGTCTGGAATGGTATATGGGGTCTGCTGCTTGAGCAGGGGGTTGGACTAGATGACCTCCCAAGGTCTCTTCCAACTCTGATGATGTTCTATGTTCAACTTTGAGAAGGTGCCTTCTTCCATTAACGTCAATTTCACAATAAGCACCAGTAGGTTACTACTTATTTACTGAATCTCCAGTCCATATAGTCAATGCCAACTGCAGTCCAAGTCAGGTTTCACTTAGTGGCCAAAAGCAAAGCTTGTTTGAACCTTGCACTCTTCTCCATACCACAGACAGAGAACAGCCTGGCAGAGAGCAGAAATAAATGAACATTGCAAATAACAGTCAGAGTGGACAGGTTACTTCTGAGTACAGCCCCATGGCATAGAATCTGATTTGAATTTGGGCACGAGGGCTAACAAATCCCATTTTGGGTGGAAGGCAATTTTGACAGTTGCACCAAGATCTCCTTTGTGACAAAGATGTCCACCACCCCTGGATGCTAGAAGAAAAAGGCCAAACCAGCTAGTTCTCCAGCCAGAGATAGTAACAGCTTTTAATTAGACAAGAGTCAGCTAGTATTTATTATTTATAGATTTGTACATTATACAATACATACATATATATATATAGATTTGTGTGTTTCCACAGATACATTGCTCTCTGAAGTATTAAAAATTGATCGGCTCCATTCTATAAAAAATACCTAACTCTACAAGGTAGAAAAAGAAAAAGAAAATCTTTCTCTTCCCAAGTATACACTGATTTACACCCAAAGTTTCTTCTGGAAATGTACAGTATGTGGATTCTTCCTGCAGACTTTTTTTTTCTGGGGCACAGAGGAATACAGGACATTAGTATGTATGTAAGAATGTTTGGGGTTTGAGAATCACTCTCCAGCGGAACAACATTTCTGCGTTTCTCTGACCATTTCACCTCCATGTTCAAGCCAGTTGAAAACCATTAATAGGGGAAATCTACTGTTGTTTTTTTAATTCCAGTGTCCTGGTTCAAGGAATTGCAAAGTATTCCAGTGGCCCAACAGTTGGGTCAATGTGAGAAAGCAAAAGCCTGGAACTAGCATTTTCAAACTAGCATCATGTCGCTTTCACCATACATGAAGGGACTCAAAAGCTTGAATGGCTTGATGATTTCAAAGAAAGGAGAGGAAGAGCATATATAGCAACTCTCAGTGCAATGTCTTGCACCCCAGGAAAATGATCTGCATATGTGGGTCACACAGACACTAGTCTGGTTGCCCCATGCCTTGTGTGCCCAAGTTGCACAACTGTTCTGTGCGTGCCTTAGAGAGGTGGACAGTGGTGAAGATACAGAGAAGGCATGTGTAGAAATGTACAACCTCACCCTCTGTGGGTTCCTGAAGGTTCTCTCTAAAATAAAGCATCAGTGAAGCAGGATTCGCTCGTGAGAGGTATAAGATGCTGCTTTCAAATTCCAAATAGTGGCATTAAAAAAAAAAAAAAAAAGAACACCAAGAAGCAAGCCTCTTTTAAAACACACATCTCAAAAGGCAGATTTAAAACACATTGAATTTTTTTCCTTTTTTTTCCAGGGGAAATAGCCTGCTTTCTAGGTACAGGCAAAATTCATCTTCTCCCCTAAAATTTATGTTGGAGGGAAAGTTGACTTGTCCCCAATTGCTTGTTTATCAGACTCCCATCGATATACAAATCTACTTCGACCCAAGGAGAAGGGAGAAGAGCAGAGGAGTTTTCTGCAATATCTGTTTCAGCACCTTCCCAAAGGACTAGATGCAAAGCCAAACCAATAATTCAATGTTCTACTAGAGTTTGAACAGGTCCTTCTAAGCAATGTGCTGTGTTGGGTGCCAGCAAAGAAAACAACTCAGTCCTTTCGGTCTGTGATGTCTCCCCTTCCCTCCTTCCCTGTTTTTATTATGGAACCGACACACCTGTTGCCATTCTTGCCTTAAAGTGGTTTAACTAGTGAAAAACACCAAATGAAAAAGGGTGTGAGATGAAGCATGGAAGGAACCACTGCAGCAAAGAGGGATAAAGGATTAGCTCTGCTTCCACATTCAGTATCATCAGCTGAGCTTCCTCCTCCTCCTCCTCCTCCTCCTTCAGCACAGCCATTGCCAGCTGGCCCCCGAACAACCAACTTCATTGACCAGGTCAGCCACCCACCCGATCACCCAGAAGACTATGCCTGGTTTTGATCTCTTTTTTTCTTTTACATCAGCCCACCTTTCTGCAGAGGCTCCGTTCCCTGGAGCACCTGCAACTCCTGAGTTTTAAGGCAGACAGCCCCCCAAAAACAGGGGCTCCGAAACACGCTGTGCCTTGTGAGAAACGGCGCAAGAGACACAGACCCCAGACGGAGTTTTCCTTTCCACTGGCCAAACAACCCAGGCAGCTTCAAAAAGGAGGGCGATCGGAGGGCTGATGATCAAGGAGAGATGATTAAACCAGAGAGGCAGGGAAGGCAGGTCCAGGAAGGCATCTGAGAGAGTCTTCCTTTGACTGCTGTGCTACAACTTCCAGGTGCCGAGGGATCCAGCTACCTCCCGTGCAGCACAAGCCTGCTTCTGTTGCTTGTGGACAAGAGTGGTTTCCAAGAAGGCTATTTCAAGGGGCCACCCAGATTCTGCTCCATTCCTGCAAAAGAGGGCAGGTGTGTATGTTCACCCCCACCCTCACCCCTTGTTTCTGTGACTTTCTTTTTTCCAAATCCTTTTTGCCACCCCCAGCCCTGTTCCCACAAGCCAGGGGGTTCCAAAACCCATTAGAATCAGGACGGCCTTACTTAATGGCTGGTCCTCTCTCTCTCTCTCTCTTCTCCACCCCAAGTTCACTGCAATCTGCCACCCAACCACTCCAACATGAGGCTTCCTGTGCCTTCTCCATAGAGTGAAGACTTGGCCAGTATTTCTTTCTTCCAAGTAGCCAATCCGCCACACCCACATGACACATCGGTTTATGTTGCTCTCAACTCTTAAGTCTCCTACTTGACTTCCAGGATGGATGGGTTGGTTTCCATGATGGCCACAATGATTCGGTCAATGTAGTCTTGGAGTCGGAAGTTGATCTCTTCTTGCTTCTGGATTGCCTCCATCAGCTGGAAAGGAAAAGAATCAAGCTTATTTTTTATCCCCCCCCCCCCAATTTTACATAAAAAGGTTAATGAAACTCTGAAAACCAAAGGGGGGAACATATAAAAGGTTGAAAGATCAGGAAGGATGAATGTGTAGCTGGATAGCTAAAATAGGCAGTGAGATTAGCAAAGAATAAGCAATAGCAATGGCACTTAGACTTATATACCGCTTCACAGTGCTTTACATAAGCGGTTTATAGAATCGGCCTATTTGCCCCCCAACAATCTGGGTCCTCATTTTACCCACCTCGGAAGGACGGAAGGCTGAGTCAACCTTGAGCCTGATGGGATTTGAACTTCTGGCAGCGGGCAATGCTGAACTCTAACCACTGCACCGCCACAAAATACCAGTCACCACTTTTCTTTTTCCTTTTCTACCTCACACTTTCTTTTTTTTCCCCTTTCCCCCTCCCCTAGCTCCCATTAGTTTTATTTTCCTTTGTATTTTATATTCTGCTATATTAATAAAATCGTGATACGTAATAATTATATTCCTCTTTATCCATTTAGTTAACTGGTATAAGGCTCAAGCTTTATTACTGGAAGACCATTCTACTATGTTCTTAGTGCAGGAATAGCTAATGCCAAGCAATAAATGGGGTCACTGGCTGGGATTTATTGAGTCTTTGAAGTGAAGTATTTATGGGGGAATTATCAAGGCATCTCCAATGGGGCGGTCTGGTTTTCTAAGACCCCAGGAGCCACTGCAGCTGATGCAGTGAGATCCTAGTCAGAAGCATTCCTCAAGCTGCATTCCTGGAAATACAACAGAACAGAATGGGACAAATCACCAAGACCAACTCGCTTCAGGACAACTTGCTATGGGACAATTTAACAATCTGATTTAATTATTTAAAATATTTTTTAAACTAATTTTTGTCATTCACATTTCATTCTGTCCCTTCCTTTGGCATTCTTTAATGATTCTATTCCACCATTTCTTTGATATGAGGGTAACTCTTGTCCTGCAGTGAGTTGTCCATGGTGAGTTGGCCGCAGCAAATTGTCATAGCATACGCAATGTGGTGGATTCCTTGTAGAAGAGGACACCTATCTCATTAAAGCAGCCGTTTCCAGGACTGTAGAGCAGCACACCTAGAAAATAATCCCATCCTGATGGGAAATCAACTTCCTACTATCTCTCATTTGCTTTGCTATGGATTCTAAGCAGCCTTTCAGAATTGAAGTGGTTCTCATGAAACACAGGAAGAAATACAGCTAAATGTCATCGGATAACTGAAGCTTTTTAGCTCTGAGCCAGCGCTCTCCAAGCTTAGCAACTTTTGGACTCCACGAATTCTCCAGCCAGCATGGCTGGCTGAGAAATTCTGAGAGTTGAAGTCTATAAGTTTTAAAAATTTGGACAGCCTTTCCCAGCCATGGTGTTTAAAAAAACATATAGGGTTAGAAAGAACTCCATGCAGAATCTCTCAGAACTGTAAGCAAAATGAAATGGTCTGGAGGATTTATGCAATCCATGGAATATATCCCTTCATAGTAGGCTCACCTAACTTTCCAAAATTAATGTTACGAGAACTCGGTTGGATGTTAAAAAAGGATAAATTGTTATCTAGTAAGTGCTTAGTTTTATCAACAAGATAAAGAGAAATCCTCCAAGTGTCTGTCAGAACCAAAGTAGCCCTTCCTAATGTGAAAGTGTGGATTCTCTAAATTGCCTCTCCCACTCAACTCCCCCTTCACTGCTTGTGGGGGAAACAGTCCCTGTAAGGTCACCACATTTACCTCATCTCTGGAGACCAGGCTGATTTCCGCAGCCAGAGATTCAGAGAAGGAAGCAGAGAAGAGATTCTTGGCACCTTGAATACTGAGGTTTATGATCTGCCCATTCAGCTCATCGTTCTGCTCCTTCAAGTTTCGGTTGTCCTGTTTGCGAAGAAAATTCCCCTATGGTTACATCAGTTTCTGCTTTAACCAGGAGACCAAGAGAAGCTGCCTTCCACAGAGGCCAACCACCAAGGGCTCTTTCGACCAAGGTTGTCTCTGCTCAAATCTTTGCCCAAGTCCTCACCCCATGATTGTTTTAACAGACTGTTGTCCTCAGAGTGTCAAGCACCAGGGAAATCAGGAGATTCCGGCAGTTCAAGTGGATATAAATATTTATTGTGAGTTTACGCTCTCTATAAGTTTAACTAAATGACGATTGGGAGACAAGCGAGGCATTCAAGGTTGGCTGGACTTAGATCTCTTGACTTATGACACATTTGACCCCTCCCTCAGGCTCAGCCTGGTCATCTCCTACATGGAATCTTCTTTAGGCTCCAGCTCTCCAGCAACCCATGCTAGCTGGGGAATGCTGGGAGTTGAAGTCCATATATCTTAAAGTTGGTAAGGTTGAGAAACACTGTTTGAACCTGATGCCTACACCTCCTTCCCCAAAGATCATGGACTGGATAACCCCAAACAGCTTCTCTTCATCCCCTAAGATATCCCCAACAATGCTACCACCAGCAGAAACTTCCTCCACTGTCCCACGCCTAAGATTTCATCTACCTGCTTGAGCCGTCTGATCTCTTGTTCCAGTTCATTCTCTCGCGTCCGGCTATTGTATTCCTGCAGGCCGATGCTGCTGCTCCGGCCTCTCCGCTGCTCGGCTTCTAGCTTGAAGACCTGCAGGTGTTCCAGCTGTTTCCTGAGGTCCTCAATCAGCTGCAAGACAAGCAAGCAAAATCAAGGCCAATGGGCATTTGCAATCAATTCACAAGGATAGGTTCATGCTGTTAAAAAAAAAAAAAGTCAGCCAGCAGAAAGCATAGATTGTCCCAGCCGGGCGAGGATTCTTTTCGCCCTCTCCAAGCCATCTTTCCTGCAATTTAACCTGAGCTGCACCCTGCAACTTGAGACCCAATTTAACCTGAAGTAGGGCTTCCCTGCTGAGAGGCAGCTTCTTGACTGCAAAGGAAATCCTGATCTTGAAAACCGGGCAAAAATTTGCATATAGCAAAGTTCCTTCCTAACCTCACAAATGTTTCATGGTCTATTTGAGCTTCTGGAAACCTTCTCACCTCTTGCCTGGACTCTTTATCTTTCTGGAACTGATGTCTCTCGTGGTTCAACTTCTCCCCCAGCTTTCTCTTGTTCTCCTGCTCTTCTGTGAGTTGGACAGTGAGATCTTCAATTTCGTCCAACAACTTCTGCTTCTCCTAGAAGAGAGAAAAGAAGGAAGGCAATGGAACTGGGAATCTTCTAGCAGCTTCATCCCTGGGAGAAAGGCTCAGGTCCCACAGCGATAAAGCATGCAGGCCAGTTAGGCTTAATCTCACCACTTGACTATACCTGCTATGGGCAGCAGAACTAGACCAAGAAATTGTGGTAGTCAAGGCCAACACCTGCCCCAGCTGATGAACAGAAACTACTGTGCTTTTTAAATGGAGGATAGAACTCACTGAGAACAGAAAACTCAGCTTGCTGGTTGGCCATAGAATTGTCCTCCAATCCTCCTTTCCCAGCTGCCATCAGTTCTGGCCAACAAGGACTAGAGAAGAATCACCAAGCTTCGTACCATACTGCTGGTTATTGCGAGACAATGAAGGTTTCAATTCTGCAAGACTCCCAGTGCCCCATCACAATGTTCTGGGATGCTGCGAGAGCTTGCCTTTTATCTGGGTTTAGTAATAGGGGGGAACGTAATTGCCTAGTCCCTCAACACCTGAAGTGGGGGTGTGGGGGGGGAGGAGGAGGAGGAGGAGGAAGAAATTGCCTAGAAGAAGAAAGCGCTCACCTCCTCTAGCCTCTCAATATTGGCCTTGAGGCAGGGGACGCAGGACCGAAGTTCTCCGTTTTCATTGTCCAATTGATGCAGCCTGTGCATTTGCAAAAACCCAAATGCATGATTAGAAATCTTATTTATCTGAAACATTTATATAGCTGCCCCTCTTATACCAAAATTTCAGTGGCTACCAATTGAAAATCAAAACAATATCTGTAATAAAACAAACAAACAGATAAATGAATAAAGTCTATATTAAAACTGCCAAAACCATAAACAAAAACTTTGCACCAAGTTCAATAGACATCTATTGCCATGGACTCTTAATTAATCAACACTATTCAAAAGCTTGCATCAAAAATGCAAAACAGAGGAAGCGATGCCAACTTCTTCCTTGCTGTTTTTCATATGGCCTAAACTACAATTCCTGTTATTCTTTTGGGATTTTTTTCCATATTCTGTGTGACTGCAGACTTCTCTGGAAAAAATGACTCTTCCTACAGAGGCGAAGGCAACTGTGCTTCCTAACCAAACTTGTTTTTCTCTTCTTTTGTTCAATTAAAATGTTTTAGCCCAAATCTAATATAATCATTCTCCTAACAGGCTAGAAATTTAAATATGTCAGGTGCAGAATTTGGCAGCCACGAATTAAGAGTGAATTAACATTGTGGAAAAGGGTTCAATACACCGAGTGCAGAAATCCACCCCCTTTCCCCATCCTGTCTGTACCAAATGTTCCACCAACTGCACTGAGCAGATATAATATTTTTAAAAAATCTCTGTAATTATTATTTCTATAGGGATGCGGTGGCTCAGTGGCTAAGACGCTGAGCTTGTCGATCAGAAAGGTCGGCAGTTCAGTGGTTCAAATCCCTAGTGCCGCACAACAGAGTGAGCTCCCGTTACTGGTCCCAGCTTCTGCCAACCTAGCAGTTCGAAAGCACGTAAAAAATGCAAGTAGAAAAATAGGGACCCCTTTGGTGGGAAAGTAACAGCGTTCTGTGCGCCTTCGGGATTTAATCATGTGGTCGTCTTCGAACAGCGCTGGCTCTTCGGCTTTGTAATGGAGATGAGCACCACCCCTGAGAGCCAGAAAACGACTAGCACGTATGTGTGAGAGAAACCTTCACCGTTCATGATTATTTCATTAGCATCAGGAAATCAGATGTGCAATATTCTCCTGAGGTGATACACAAACGACAATAACCCAGGGACTCCCCATCGCTTTCCTGGACGGATCCATCTTACCGGGCTTGCAGGTTTTCAATCTCCATGCTTTTTTCTCGTTCCATCCTGCTGAGCAGGTCTCTCTGTTTCCGGATTTCATCGATAAGGATTTCATCTGATTTCATCTCTTGCTCTTTCAGCTGCTCTTCCAAGGCATTTGCCCTGTCCAGAAGAAGAGAGGTTCCCAAACGTAACGCCACTTATTGTCCCATGAGAACTCACGCTCCGGGGCATACGAACCCAAAGGGAACGAGAGATCCACAAAATCTTGAGGGCTGCACCTGCATTTCTTGCAGACCTTGTGAGCCGATATAGATGGCATACAAGTTTAAGGCATTTGGGGAGATGGACAGCATACAATTTTAATAAATAAGTACATTGTCAGCGGGACCACAGATCAGGAGTCTGGTAGCTCCTTTTCAGATTAACAGGTACTATTCAAAGGCATCTGCTCTTGTGAACCACAGCTCATTTCTTTCCTTTTTTAATAATATATTTTATTTATATGTAAATATTTTGGAAACAGTGTATTGTCCAGGCATTTCATTTTACCAAAAAACCAACAGATATAGTAATAATGATAATAATATACCTAGTAATTATATTGTTAATATTAATAGTTATATTAGCTTATTTATAATCATGATCATTATACTAGCATACTTATAATCATAGACAACATTCATCTTTTACACGTACATAACAATAATCTTTCTTTATCTAACCTCTAATTCTTACATCTAACCATTGATAAAACCTATCCCATGTTGAGTAATACTTTATCTCCGTTATCTTTTATTTTCAATGTCAGTCTATCCATCTCTGCACAGTCCAATATTTTCCGAATTATGCTTTCATCGGATGGGATGTTCTCATTTTTCCAATATTGTGCAAATACAATCCTTGCTGCTGTCAATGCATGTAGCATTAAGTACATACTCCCTTTATCATAGCTTTCTGGTATGATACCTAACAGAACTGATCAAGATGCACGGAGGGGTTAAAGTGATGCAGGATTTAAAGTGGGACTAGGGAAACTGTTAATCCGAAGAAGTGCTACGAGGCTCTTCCTCCAGTGATAATCCCAGTCTTCCTTGGCAATTCTGACAGCCTGATTTCAATCATAGAGGAGCTTAAAAACAGACCATCTCTGGCAAAGCTGCATGCCTTCTCTGGAAGATGGCTTTCTCGTCCTCTTTATGGTGCACTAAACCACCCGTGAAATACGAAAAAGAGCTGAAAAATTGTAACACTCCTACACTCCAGGGTACGTAGTGAAGGTGACCAGGCTGAGCCTGAGGGAAGGGTCAAACACATCATAAGTCACGAGACCCTGCGCCCCCTCAAGAGATCTAAGTCCAGCCCACCTTGAATGCCTTTCTCATCTCTCACTCCGTTCCCTTGACCATTAGTAGGTCAGATGCTTTGTGGAGGGCTTAAGCTTGCAATAAATCTTTATGCTCATTTGAATTGCCCGAATCTCCTGATTTCCCCAGCGCTTGACACGGTCGGTTCTATTAGAAAATGTTCTCTTCTCAATTCCCTCTCTGAAAATGTGTCTGTTTTTTAAAAGGCTGACCCCAATTTTTTCACTGCTTGCCTTGAGCCATAATTAAGTCATTACGCAGCCTAATCCACCCAAGTCCTACTGAGAAAGTACAGCTGAAAACGCAGCTGTGTGAAGAAACCAACCTTATAACAATTTGTATCCCCCTTCCCACAAAAAGCTGAATTTCTAATCTGGGTTTTCCGGCTGTTCTGCAAGCATTTTTTAAACGAAGCCCCACTCCAAAATAGGACAGCTTCCAAACCCCAGCACAAAATTGGGCCCCTGCTCTTTCCAAACAGACAGATCTCTTTCTCAAGGTGTACCTGTGCACCAGCTGAAGGTTTTCCTGTTTTAACCGGCTCTGCTGCTCCCCGTTTGCTGCTGTGTCCTTTTCCAACTCTGTCACTCTTTTCTCCAAGAAGATCACCTGCACCGCGGGCATTGACAAAATCCCCATCAGTCAATTGTGAAAGGCAGCTTTACTTGGAACAGCTTACATCCTGCAACAAGACCTTTCATATTCTTAAACAACGTCTGCCTTTTCCTTGGGAAAGACTTGATGGGTGGATTAAAATGCCAAATTCACTCTGAATATCTGGCTGACTGTGTGACCAACCATAACAAGAATAATAAAAGTCACCGGATGGGTGGATAAGATCCTTCCCTCCCTACATCCCTGTGTATGTGCACACACGTGTTTGTGTCCTCTATTCAGTTAAACACACCCATACATAATCTCCTTCCCATGTACCTTATCAGTGATGTCCTCCTCCAGGCACTCAGAGCTCTTCTGGAAAGGTTGTTCTATGTTATCCATCGAAAAGCTTCCCGTCTGATGCAGGTGTCTGTAAGCAAGACGGAGAAATTCAGACAAAAGCGAGGCTACCACCATCACAACAAACAACGGGTAATCAGTGAAGGTTTTCATCAATGAAATCATATCATATATTTCAATTGCATAGCTTGGAGGCTCCCGTTCTACCGTGACCCTCCAGATTTTTGGTGGCCTTCTAAGCTCTGAAATCAATCCGGTCTGTTTTAGGTTCGCTCTAGACTAGAGCAAAAGAACAAATTGATAGAACTTCACCCTTTTTTTATACCTCTTGCTCTTTGGAATATGGGGCAATCAAGGCCTTGCTTTCGTACGTCTCTTCTTTTTCATCTTCACCCAAGGAGGACAGCACACTCCAAAGCAATAAACCAAAAGGAACCGGGGTAGTTTAAGATGAAGCAAGGTCATGAAATAGCTCTCCTGGGACCAGCACCGGAAGTTAACTGGACCTCTACCACGTCACCCAGCCTCTGTGTTGTGGTCCAAAGTCTGCCACTTTATGGCAGGTCATTTGGGCCAGGCGTTTTATCAGCCGCTAACTAGTAATACAATTTATCACTCTACAGGTGTTCAACAGGCCATTCTGAGATAAAGAACCAAGTTTGGTACAGGTAGTCCTCAATTTACAACCACAATTGAGTGCAACACTTCTGTTGATTTGCGAGAGATTGGTGACATAAACATTGCCCCATTTTACGGCCTTTCTCACCACCGCTGTTAAGTGAACTGCTGTGATTCTTGTTAATAATACGGTTGTTAAGTGAATCTGGCTTCCCCATTGATTTTTGTTTGTCAGGAGGCCATAAAAGAGGATCACGTGACCTTGGGATACTGCAACTGTCATCAATGTTAGTTGACAAGTGTCTGAATTTTGATCATTAGCCTTATCTGTATTATCTGTATTAAGTGTGGAATAAGTCACTTTTTTTCCATGCTGTTGTAACTTTTGAATGGTCACTAAATGAACTGTTGTAAGTTGAGGACTTCCTCCCATTGCTTTCTATGGGCCTATTACTTGGAACCCTGACACATTTCACACATCTCTATTTTTTTATTTTCTTTAGAGGTTTTTTTTTTTATTTCTTAGTCCAGACCTCAATTTTGTGTTTTTTTCTCCCCTAAGGAGTCTCCCTTCCATGCATTCACACACACACACACACACACACAGGACCAATTAGCTTCTAAGCCCAAAAAAGGGTTGATCACATGCTGTTGCCTGCTGACACTTATATTATCCACCCAATTTCAAACAAGAAGAGTCCTGAGAGAGCATGGCTAGTTTGAAGGACACTAACTGGCTGAAGCATCTGCTTCTCTATCAGGGAAAGTTAGGGAGGGTGGGGGAAAAAAACCACATCTAAAAGGACAATTAAAATAACGCCATAAAACCAAAACAGAAACAAATCTGGGCCGGCCTTCCAGCAGAACAGTTAGAATAGTGGGAAAGTGCTCCACTGGCTAAGAAGCTGCAAAGGTATTGGAATTTTATACCGATGGCATTTTAATAATGGCAGGAGGCACACAGACATTTTGACGGTCTCTCCCTGCAGCCTTTGCAACAGGTAGCAAAATGGAGAGGGAAAGATGGTCTAATTCTACAAAGCAGGTAAGACAAAAGCAGCACCTGGAATTTCAGTAAGGGATCTCTCACATGCTAAACAACAAGATTCTTGGAAAATGTATGAGGAATTTCTCGGCTGCTTACAGTTAAGGCAGAGTCTCTCGGAATAATCCGCAAAGCTTCTTCCCAGGTTTCTGCTCCACCAGGGCTAAGTTACTGTTTGTGAGAGAAACTGACTTGCCCCGTTTCTTGTCCTTTGTATCGGGTCACCCTCTTCCGTTGTTTCCCCACAAACTCTGAGACGGAGCCCCAAATCTCCAAGACTGACTCAGCAATTAGATGAAAAATGAGGTCAGGAGTGAGTTGCATATTCCCCCCAATGTGCCATTTCTCACAGGTGCACGTTGGCAACCAATGCAGAGGTGGCACCTCTAATATTAGAGCCCAAATTTGTGGGTTTCAATCAATCAGAATAGAGCTGGAAGGGACCTCAGAGGTCATCTAGTCCAGCCCCCTGCTCAAGCAGAAGACCCTATACCATTCCAGACAAGCAGCTATCCAGTCTTTCCTTAAAAACCTCCAGTGATGGAGCACCCACAGCTTCTGGTGGCAAGCTGTTCCACTGGTTAATTGTCCTCCCTGTTAGGAAATTTCTCCTTAATTCCAGGTTGCTTCTCTCCTTGATTAGTTTGCATTTATTGCTTCTTGACTTGCTTCGGGTGCTTTGGGCAGTAGGTTGACCCTTTCTTCTTTATGGCAGCCCCCCAAATACTGGAATACAGCTACCATGTCACCCCTAGTCCTTCTTTTCTCTGGATTTCAGATATCAGAGATTACATCCTCCCTCCCCCAGGTTTGCCAAAGCTCCCACTGGGACCCCCCTACCCCCAAATTTTTGTATTTATTTAGTATTTATTTGATTTGTCAATTGCTTACAAGATAATAGTATAAGTATATACATAGTTATGAATACATGAAATGGGTACATATAAGAAAAATAAAAGAAACAATAGGACAGGGACGGTAGACACGTTGGTGCGCTTATGCACGCCCCCTACAGGCCTCTTAGGAAAGGGGTGAGGTCAATAGTAGACAGTCTAAGGTTAAAGTTTTGGGGGTTTGGGGAAGAAACCAGAGAGTCAGGTAGAGTATTCCAGACATTGACCACTCTGTTGCTGAAGTCGTATTTCCTGCAATCAAGTTTGGTGCAGTTAACCTTGAGTTTGTATCTATTGTGTGCTCTTGTGTTGTTATGGTTGAAGCTGAAGTATTCATTGACAGGTAGGACATTGCAATGTATAATTTTATATACTATATTTAGGTCGGACCGGAGGCGGCGTAGTTCTAGGTTTTCTAGGTCTAGAATTTCAAGTCTGGTGGCATCAGGTATTCTGCTACGAGTAGAGGAGTGGAGAACTCTTCTTGTGAAGTATTTCTGGACAATCACCCTTCCCCTGCCTCCTGCTCAGGTCAGCAGATGCCCACCCACAAGAACTAAGCTTGGAACCTGCAACCCAACCAACCAACCAACCAACCAACCATCTGAATGGCTCTGCTTCGGAGATCTTTACAATCAGAGAAAGAAAGGATCCCACAACATCCTTGGAGTTTGGAGTAACAATTAATCCCTTTCCCTCTCCCCCGCCCCCCACGAGAAGAAATTGCATGAGGCAAGCAGGATCACATCAAAACAAGAGAAAAGAAGGAAAGAAATATCGTCCTACCTTGCTACCTTTTTGCTGGACAGTCTCTTATTCGGGCTGTGGAACAAACAACAGGAAAACTAAGTCAGGAAAGCTGACACCAACGAGCCACAGTGAAACAGGAAGCAAGCAAGGACAGAGCAGGAGGGCCATATCCTTTACAATTTGCAGCACAACACACAAACACATCACCCCCACGTTGCATGCATCGCGCTCCCTCCATCTTAGCCCTCTGACCATGCCAGCCTTTTGAAGCCACCTCAAGGGCGCTTTCTCAGAGAAGCAACACAGCTGACCGTCTCTGGATCCTGCAGACCAGTTTCTCCCAACCTCCACCTCTTTTGGATGGGTGGACTTCAACTCCCAGAATTCCCCAGCCAGCAAAGCCTTTTGCTGGCTGGGCCGAGTCCTGTCTTTGAGTGGCGTGCCAAGAAGGCAATAATCCAGGTATTTAGTTGGAAGAAGACCAAAAAATTTGAAACCATCGGCCAACAGGTTATACAATTACTCCCCTGACTGCAATATTATTAACGTTCTCCTACTTTAACAAAATACAATTCCACAGCAACTGGGATAGCATCCCTGTGTCTTCAGGGGGAGGAATATAGTAGCTCAGAGGAAGTTTGTACAAAGACATGAATACATCTCTCTCATTGCAATTCTGGAGGCCTTTGGGTGTCTCCATTGCGCTTGGCCCTGTTGTGTGGCTAAGTGTTTCCGTGCCATCTATACAAGATCAACATTCAAGGACACATCCCTCCATACAAGCCAAAAACATCAGATCCAGATGTCCCTGGACCAAGTTGTTTCAGAACCCAGAGCTTGAATGTTCTACCAACCTCTAGAAACCTAGCTCAACTTCTAAAGGTTTCAAGTATCACTTTCTCTTGAGATTTAATTTAACAACATTTCACTGGATTGTCTGGATTTCTTCCTAGTCTCTCTCAGGACAACCTCAGATTTTTCTTTGAACACACACACACAATGGCTTCAAGAGGCCCTCCTTGAGTTATTCCTTCATCTTCTGCGCTTCATCAAACATCGTTTTGGAAGAACAAACATTTTGTTCTTTCAGGGCTACTCCAAACAAGTACACATAAAGGTATATTTTCCTGTGCAATACCATCAAAGTAAATTACAAAAAAGATGGCTGGAAATTGGCATAAATTGATGGCTGGAAATTAAGCAGTAAGGAAAGGGGTTCCAGAGATATGTCTTGTAGGAGCTGGGCTACCAACGAAGTGCCAACAGCCTTGGCATTTATCTTTACTCGGCATAGCCTTCCCTCAACTTGAGGTTCTTTTAAATGTTCTGGTCCAGCAGAAGAGCCCTTGTTGCCCAGAACTGGAAAGAGACAGTTATATCAAGTGAAGAAGAAATAATAAACAAAATCTTGATATGAACTGAAATGGACAACTCTAGGAATGAAAAACAAAGATGAATTGGCATATTACGCAATT